TTTTGCCCCTATGGTGGGGATTGAATATGAGCCCTTTGACCTGTTAAAAAGCATGGAACTCTCCATTTAATATTTTCAGACTATTGCTGACTATATGTAACTAAAGAAGAGAAAAGAGAATGAGAAAAAAAAGAGGAAGATAAATCCTGCACAGGTTCAAATTCTCTATGATGAATAGTCATATATATTGAAATTGTACCAATAGACTTAATTCTTTTTTTTTTTTTTTTTAAAGTAAAAGCTGGGCGTGGTTGCCACAGTGGTAATCCCAGCATTCAGGAGTCTGAGGCAGGAGGATCTTTGTGAGTTCCAGAGGAGGCTGGGCTACAAAGTGAGCTCAAGGCCAGCCTGAACTGCATAGTGAGACCGTCTCAAAGAGATTAAAAAAAAAAAAAAACCCCAAGATATGAGAGGCCAACTATACACACCAATGTTACTCACTAATAGCCTTAATATAACTGGTTACAGATGACTTTTGACCACTTATTCATATTTTTCAAGTATTTCACAACGTTTGCTTTTTTTTTTTTTTTTGGTGGTAGCACTGGCACCCACACTTGGGGGCTCATCCAGTGAACTATAACCCTAGCCTCTGTTCTGTTTTTTATTTTAAGGTGAGGTCTTGCTAAATCAGTAAGTTGCCCAGGTTGGGCTTGAACTTGTGATTTTCTGTTTTAGTAGGCCAGAGAGCTGGGATTACAGACATGTGCCACTCACTATGGCTAGATAAATGTAAGTATTTATAAAAAGAAATATAGGGGCCGGGGAGACGGCTCAGTGGAATAAGCGCTTCCCTGGCAAGCGCAAAGACTTGAGTTCAATCCCCGGCTCTGCAAAAAAAAAAAAAAAAAGAAATATAAAGCCAAAAATTTTACTTAGTTACCTACATATTTATTTCTTCACCGTTTTTTGGTTTTTTTTTTTTTTTTTTTCCTTTTTCTTTTTTTTAGCTAGGGTCTTGCTATGCAGTTCAAGCTAGCCTCACTCAAACTTGTAGCAATCCTCCTACTTCAGCCTCCTGAGTGCTAGAACTATAGATGTACACCACCATGCTCAGCTTATTTTTGTCGTTTTAAAATAAGGTAAGTGAAAAAAAAAAAAAGATGAAATAAAATAAAATAAAATAGGGTAAGTGGAGCATGGTAGTGCACACCTGTATTCCCAGCACTTGAGAGGCTGAGGCAGCAGGATCCCTGTGAGTTCAAGATCAGCATGGGCTACAAAGTGAGCTGAAGGCCAGCCTGAACTACATAGTGAGACCCTATCTCAAAAAGACAAAAGTAAAATTAAAAAAATAAAACACAGTATTACTAGTATTACTATACAGGGGCTGGGGAGATGGCTTAGTGGAATAAGCGCTTCCCTGGCAAGTGCAAGGGCCTGAGTTCGATCCCCGGTTCCGAAGGAAAAAAAAAAAAAAAAAAAAGTGATGGACTCACAGTATTACTATACAGCCGAGGCTGGCCTCAGACTCCTCCTCACTCAGCCTGTTGAGTGTATTATAGTTGTGTATAACCATGCCCAGATATCAAAACCAAAACTTTTTTTTTTTTTGCGGGAACCAGGGATTGAACTCAGGCCCTTGCGATTGCCAGGCAAGCGCTTATTCTACTGAGCTATCTCCCCAGCCCCCCAAAACTTTATAAATAAAAAAGATTTTAAAAAAAAGTTATCTCCCATATGTAAGCTACCAACCTCCTCTCAGGGGTGATGTTCCCAGTCTGCTTCCTTTACAGAACTAACAGTTTAGTTAAACAAAACATACCAATAGGGTGGAAAAAGGAAAAATGCTAAGAGGATACGGGGCAGGGTCTCTTAACTTAGGAAGTGCTGCTATTTTACAGCAGATAAGTCACTACCGAGGGTGTTCTGCTGGCACCAGAGGCTGCACAGCACCATCTCTGGCCTCTGCCCACTAGGTGCCAGGTGTATGGTACCAGCTATCATGGCCAACATGGTCTGCAGATGAGGACTTAACCACAGAGAACACAATCACACTGCAGGAAAACCACTGGTCTGCATACCTGGGTCCTCGCCTGGCTCAGTCACTAATTCTCTGGTGACTTTGGAAAACTTACTTTTCCCTCTACCCCACTGTAGACCTGAGATGCCTACTTGGCATATTTGTTCTCCAGAGTCCCATCCAGCTCTGGGATTTGTGGAGTTGATAAATTCCTATGTTCTATGAGGTCAGCAAAGCTAAACATATTAGTTAGTATAATCCAAATGTATTGGAACTATAATTGGATGTGTGTATGAATGACAAAAATAAAATAACCGGGCTGGTGAGATGGCTCAGTGGTCTAAAGCGCCTACTTTGAACAAGCTTAGCAATGCACAAGGACTGCGGTTCAATCCCCCAGCACCACATGCCAGCCAGCCCTGCCCCCTGGTGGGCTGAGCTGGCCACACACACACACACACACACACACACAAATAAATAAATAAATAAATAAATAAAATTTTAAAATAAAATAAAATAACCTTTGGCTACTTACCCGGATTCAGGACCTGTAGACAATTTCTGTTTCCTGACTGATCGGCTCCTCCAAATACCCAGATGCTGCCAGGGGTGCAGGAGGGAACAAAGCTGGCATGTTCGTAGCGGGACAAGAGGCCCTCTTGGGTAGCCAAGTCCCACCGGTGTGTTCCTGGAAAACATTTCATCCGGTTCCTGGTTTGGGGCTGCCAACTAATTGCCTCCGTTGACAGACTTAGGGAAGATGGAGAGGAGAGGGCCAAAAGCACTCATGAGACCTGGGCACAGTGGCGCATGCCTATATTCCTGGAGCCTGAAGCAGGAACACTGTGAGCTTGATGCCAACCTGGGCTATACAGTGTCTCAAAAAATCTGTCATTAAAAACTAATAAAAGTATAAATGAACAAACATTGAGTCACTTAAAAAAAGGTGGCAGTTCCGTAGTAAACACTTTGGGGGCTGTCTTCTTAGTGTAAAACTCTCTTTCGGTGCTGGGGAAGTAGCTCAGTAGAATAAGCCTGCGAAGCGCAAGGGCCTAAATTCGATCTCTGGTTCCGCAAAAAATAAAATAAAATAAAATAAAAATAAAATAAAACTCTCTTCCATGGGTACTGTTCCTGCACTCCCTCCAAACTGCAAGAGTAGGGTCCACAAATTATATGCACACCACCCCTTGACCTTGTATCCTTAGTTGACTAAGTGGGAGGTAGCCACTGACTCAATCAGATCCACTCTCTCATGAGGCTGGGCTGTATTTCTGGCTCTTGGGTTTTTTGTTTGTTTGGGGTGTTTCAGCCCTTGGATTCTGCAAATCCAAGGAATTACTTTTATCTTATTATCTGAAATTATTTCTTCTTATTCTTTCTGGCTTAAGTGGGTCTCTGCTACCTACAACTAAATGATCTCTGGATAAAACAAGTTCACTGAATAACACTTAACCTATTAGTTATTTTAGTTAGTAAACTACTTATATAAGATGTTCACACCTGTAATTTCAGCACTCAGGAGGCTCAGGCAGGAAGATCACTGCAAGTCTGAGACCAGCCTGGGCACAAAGTGAGCTCAAGGCCAGCGGAACTGTATAGGTTTGTTTTTTGGGTTTTTTTTGGTGGAACCAGGGATTGAACTCAGGCCCTTGTGCTTGCCAGGGAAGCGCTTATTCCACTGAGCCATCTCCCCGGCCCTGAACTGTATAGTGAGACCCTATCTAAAAAATAAAAAAATGTTCACAGGCTTTATCTTACTGGAACATTATGTTTACTAAATGAAGCAGTTGCTTTAAGGGATATCAAGGTCCAGATGGTATAACTGGTTTAGCCAGAGTCATTAAGAAAATAATAGAGTTCAATAAATTTGTAACTGTGCGCTGGGATTATAACAGGGTAGAACACATGCCCAGCATGTGCAAAGCTTGGATTTGTTCACATGTGCAAACCAAACAAACATGTAGCTGAACTAGCCAGTAAGCTCTTACAGGCCTGGAAGAGGTTTGTGCCTTTTTGTCCCGCCAGCGCTGGGGATCAGACTTGGAACCTTGTGTAGGCTAGTTAAGCACTCTGCGACAAAAGACTTAATTTTGACTTCCTAGTACAGGGTGTAGAAATCCCACTGTCTAGAGAGGAGTAGCAAACATGTTGGCAACTTGGAGAACAAAAGCCCCATTAAAAGGTGGCAGCTCAGCTCCAAATAATAACTGCCAAACAGATATGCAA